AGGGATCAGGCTGCTTCGTGTGCTTATTTACTCAAATAACTGTTACATTTACGGTATATAGGGCACTATGGCTGCAGAATTCTAACATGGTAAGAGGGAAGGGGGAGGGGGAGGAAGGGGGAGCGAGAAGGGTGACAAAAAGAAACGCCGCTAGGTGTTAAAAGCAGCGTATTTTCCAAGTATAATTAATATATGGAATCAGAACGAACTAAATTGGGAAAAATTGGACTTTAGAACTATTCCTGCAATAAAAATCTGTTTGAATGAGGGGAAGCCCCACTTCTACTCCACTCCTCCTCTTCTCCCGTCCCTCTTCCTTCACCGTCAGCCATTGAAATTGAACCCGATACCGCTTTACATATAGGCGGGCGATATCGCCATTCCTGTACTGTGCCTTAGAATCCAAATGAAACTAAGAGTTCTCGGGCAGCAAGATTATTTATTTCATGAGTCTTGCGTTTGTTGAAATATTGTTATCTTTATTTCCATTTTTTTGCAAAAGTTTGACCTCTATCAACATTTAATTATTCCAAAACAAAGCCGAACTATCTATACTGTGCAGTAAATGTGTCTCATTCGAAAAGTAGCCCCAATGACTTTTCAAAACAGTATTTTTGCCAATTGCTTCGAGAACAACCAAAAGCCTTTTTGCCATTTTTCTCAGCTAAATGCTTGATGAGTAGATCATCAGTGCTCTTTCAATGCACTACATTCACTTCCTTTTGAAAAAACGTCGTATGACATCGTCGCACGAATGATGTTTAGAAATAAAGTGGGCAAGCAAAGTAGAAACGACTTCTTGTTGTTTCTACTAGCCTCTTTGTCGTTCTGGCACAAATATGAGCAATTTCTATGTATACATTCCTTTACAGTTGAACATATGTAGAGCAGATTTAAGGAGAGATGCAATCAGGGCAAGCCTGCAGTGGTGTATACTTTGAGCGCGTTTTCTTCGTTAAGGAGGAACAATTTAGGGCCCTAGCAAGGAAGGGAGAAAGTGCTGTGATCTGGTTATTGGCTGTAAGTTGAGTCAAGGGGTGCACAAAAAGTGTTTGCTATAAAGAACGTAAAATTATGAGGAACAAAAAAGTATTTGCTAATCGGAGACCTGAGGTCTCCAGTAAGTCTCCGCCGGAGACCTAAATCACAAAAAGGTACGGCGATTTTTTCATTTTCATATACTTCAAAGATTTTTCAAGCACTTCTTCTACTCCTTGTTTCGCATCTTTGAGGCAAATTTGGTGGCCGTTCATTGCTTATTCGCTCAGAAAAACGGTTTTATATAAATTTTTTGAAAATCTTTTAAATTTCCAGCACTAAAGAAAGAAACATTGAACCTTTGCTAGAGCAGGTTTTTAAACGTTCTAGAAGCGTGTGTATATACTCTGAATTAAGTATTGAATAAGAAGGAAATGCTCAGATCGCTGCATGAACATCTGCGCTAGGGAGAATTTTGTTATGGAAAAAGGGGTCATAATTGAGATTGAACTGCAGGCTCCTCTTTAGACCCATACGATTTCCCCTTTGCTTTTTCCACAGAAACGAATTCCAGCTTGCCCTCCGGAGACCTGCCGCCGAGGTCCGGGCATAGCTTAGCAAATACTAGTTAAATGATGTAACGAATTCTTTGATCCTGTGTAGTTTTTAAGGCAACTAACGCACAAGGTAGCGTTGGGTGGCCAAAGATGACGCTCTATCATCGTTCAAGTCTCACTCTCAATGGTAGTCTTATTGCACCTATAGCATAACAAATACTCTTTTCGTTTTTTAGAAGGTAGCGTTGGGTGACCAAAGAAGACGCTCTGCCATCGTTCAAGCTGCAGTCTCAGAAGAATTCTCGATAATAGTCTTATTGCATCGATATGACAAATACTCTTTTCGTTTGGAACTGTCTTCGAAAAAAGCATTCATACATATTTTATTAGAGTAACAGTCTCATTAGTCAATGCGTTACATGCTTGCAGGAGTTCTACTCCAACTCTACGGGTTCCTCACCTACTATACACAAAGCAGTTTTACCTAGGACACTTGACATCTGGTGATAAAAAGTTATGGGTAGAACAAGCAGTAAATTACAGAGCA